GTTGAAAGAGATAAAAGTAATGAGAAAATTACCTTTGATGTTACAACCTTAGCATGCGCATTATTATATGGAGGTGTGTAGAATGAGAATAATATGAGTAGGTATAGTAATAATAAGGGCCGGACAAGTCGAGAAATAACGGCTCTTTGTAATATTGAAGCTGGTGTTTTACACGGAAACGTCTACCAATTTCCCCCGTCTTATTTTAAATTGTTTATTCTATTTGATTCTATTCTATTTCTCAACTCGTCCTGGCCTTATTTTTACTATTACTGTTATTACTATACCTACTCTTATTATTCTCACTCTGCACACCTCCATATCATACTGCGCATCTTAAGGTCGTAACATCAAAGGTAATTCTCTCATTGCTTTTTACTCTTTCAACTGAACTTCAAAATGCGCATATCTTTATAATTACATTCATCAAAATTGAATGCGGTTAAGGATGAATGAAGCAGCCTTCCTTATCCTTGTTTGAAACCACTTTTGCAAGGAGAATTTCATTTCATAACACTAAAATATTAGTCGTGTTAAAAATGCTTTCAGTAATTGCTTGATCCCTTTAATTTATTTCGACAAGTAAGAAACACTTGATTTTAAGTATTAATTAGTTGAGTATTAATGATCGTTTTCAGATGAAGCAGACTCAGCCTAACGTCAACAGTGAATTGGATACAGTGAAGGAAACAAATTTCCTTTCAGTATTCCTCACATATTGCTCCTTCATTATTCACGATAGCAAACGTGAGAACGTTCTCCATTCATTGACATTTGATAATAACGCTGCAGAAATTCAATATGTTGATAATTGCGAAATTACTTGATATCACTTTTTGTTCATTGCTGAATTGTGTACCATCTCTCATGCTATGATAGAGTTGACGTTCTGTTCTGTTATAGTTCAATATTTCTTCGTATACATTACCTTATGGCCTGTGAACTATCAGCACCGAAAGCGCAAGAGCCAAAAAAAAGTTTGTGGATTGAAACCCAAAAGCAATTTAGATGAATACAGCAAGCGTCGTTGCGAGATATGTTTGCTGATATTGATGAGTATTGTTGATGATATGCACGCGTTGAGTGTAATGCATAACCCAAAACTTTTGCTGTCGACACCGTTATATCGTCCACCGATGCTGCATCGTGACGCTGAATTCGTCGATAAACCTCAAGCGTGCACCATCGCTGCTGCTTTCTACGACCTTATCTATGAATTTATTATGTCGCATATGCTGATCACTTTCCCTTATCATCTTTACCAGTAAGTTTCATCAATTTTCATGTCGTTTTGAAATCATTCATGAGCACATTCGACAGATATCAATGTATAATTTCTCTGATTACGATCTCGATAAGTAAGCAAACATCGATCCAGCTAAACATTTTGCAGTATTGTTACTTAGAATTGTTCCAAATGCAGTATAATAAAGTGGTTTGTGCTTAGATTGGCAATTGGTATTATACACAGAATGGTTGCGTTTGAGAAGCGCACCTCTTGCCGAATCACGAAATGGAAGCCAATTTTCGAAGGTATTTCTTCAGTGAAGTTCGATTTCCTTAGTGAATAAATTATACTCGATTTAGCATATTTTTAGAATCGGAAAGGATTAAATTCAATCATAAAAGTCACTGATCAATCTAATGAGCATTCACTGTAATTATCATTTCAGCGCTGTTAGCACTACTCAACTTTCTTGCATCGAACGAAATGCACGTTGACGTAACAGCAGTGCACCAGATATGTGTACAAATTATGATTCTATTGAATCTTTTCATCACTTACGGTGATACGTTCCTGCCGAATGACATTGCCTATGATCATATGTGCTACGAGATCATTAGACAAGAAGCCGTCTTTCGGAAACTTCTCAAATCCGCTGCAAAATTACGAGAAACTGATTCCGAGAATGAGGAGAACTCAAGAACGTACGTCTTAATTTCACTTATCTCTTCTTAATTTTTCGTTCTTGTGCTTTTATATAATTCAAAAAAAGTTATTGTTGCATAATATGTTTTCGTATTCAAAAGAATTTGATACCTATGTATATTGAATTGTCTTTCTCGAGCGAATTTTTTTGTTTCAGTGCCACGAAAATAATCAGCCAGCTGGAGAATCCGTTGGAGATAGTGAGCCATTTTAAAGATAAACTTGCGCAGCTGAATACCACGAGTTTTTCTGAAGAAGAGGTTAGCACCTTCAGTTAGATGCTTCTTCATTCATTCGATTACTTTATCAATTCATAAAAATTTAGAGAATATGCTACTTGACCGTCGATTCCATTTGAGCACTTTTTAATTCGATTGAAATTCCCTCAAATTGGCAATGAATTTGAGATATCATCAGATTGAAGTTTCGAAACCGTGATCGCGTAATTCAGGTTCTTGAAGTGGTGCGAAAGAATTTTGACTCTCTTCATCTGAAACTCTACGAAGGTCTTGAAACGGCAGAGCCATATGATCCTAATTGTATAAATGCATTGTTGGATGATTTGGTAAGTCATTTCATTCCCATATTCCCTCACTTTTTGAACGTAAATTTGTGTCGGCACCAGCAAAAGTTTTTCCGTTAGGTTAAGATCAACTACGAAGAAGTTTGTATCAGTTTCGGTAACTGAATGCAGATGTTTGCAGTCGTATTTTTATGAAAAGCGTTCAGTTGTCATCCGTTTAGTTGGCACATCACGGCATTCTATCATTTCAAAATGAAAAACAACTTTTCTTCTGTCCATTGTCATTTCATGCTTGGAATGAACCGCTGAAACATTTTATGGCGTCTAAATGAATGTGTTCATTGCAGAGATTGTTTGTGAAAAGAAACTCTAAGAAGCGTTACAGCTTGCAGAATTTCGAGTATTCAGATATGCTGAATGCGTTATCTTCAATCGAATCACGAAAGTCGTCCGCAGTGTCCCGTACTCATTCGCGAAAGTCATCCGCGTCAATTGATTCGTAATTTATTCGTACCATTAATCTGTTTGCATCGAATGTGATAATGTATTTTCGGGTGTTAACCACAATCGTTGTGAAGATTTCATCTCTTTTGAATGTGATCATCCGTTGTTATGGCTAATTTGTTTGAATGACTAATGGAGTTCGATCATGGTTGCTTACACATACGAGATGGATTCCTTTGAACAACTGTCTTTCGTTTTTGTCTGTGATGGACACTTTTGGATAGAAACCGGTTTTTGAATTCGGTAAATTTATCAAATTTTTAAGTTAAGGAAATATTTCCGCCGGTGTAAATTTTGTTTATTTGCTTATATATGTGCATTTTCACGAAAACAAAGCTTTTGTGCGATATTTTGAAGTTTAGTAGATTGAAGCTTCAGTGAATGCCTGTTTCTAGGTTATTATTGTTCAATAGATTTGAAATAAACATCAATTTTATTATATTTCGTCCTTCCCACTATACAAATTATTGTGATATTCACCGTAACAAAAACATTCAAAACCATACTTTAGGGCAAAATGTTTCAAAGTAACGTCGTTATTTTATGATCTGCTGTAATTTGTTATATGCCATTAAATGCTTCGTTATTAATTTCGTTCACCCTCATAATTTATGTAATTAAGTACGGACTACGTATACAACAAATATGATTCCTTGTTTACACAGCAATTTGATCTGTAAGCTTCTGATACACGGGAGTTGTTGCAGCGTGACATTTTAGAAGTGTATGATACCAAGCGAAACTGAATAAATAAATGGCAAAGAAACTGGTATTTTGGTCGAAGCAATGAGTTTATGCAATCATATGAATGCAAAACATGATTTCTGTTGAGCTTACGATTTTCGCAACCTTCTAACAACGAGATGAAAACTTTGTTTAATGGCAATAATTGGTGACGTTCCATGGATGAATTACGGCTGCCGTAAAACTGGCGAGCAAA